GTGTTGACCGCGAGGACGGGGGGCCGGGTCATGAAGGAAATCTCGTAGGCGAACGGGGCCAAGGTGTCTGTACCACTAAAGGCGCCCGTGGGGATACCTGGAGTTGGGTGAAGCGCCAGGCGCCCTTCCGTCTGCGGCCACGGCCCATACATGCCAGGCAGTGCATGTCCCTCACCCTGGCCTCGGCCAGCACCATGCTCTGAGCGGATGCCCCATGACCACCCCCGGCCCCCGCGCTGTCCTCGGGGCTGCGTCCACCTTGCAGAGCCCTTTGGGCACAAATATCCACATTTCAGTCAAAGGTGAACACTCATGGGGGAGTTCTGCGACTTGTCATGTGTGTCCTCCTGTCCCACGGGCCCAGCTGGGACCCCTGCATGAAGGGGTAACTTCCCATCAGGGGAGGAAACGGACTTTGGTCATTTCGTGTCCCTCCTGCATGGGCAGCTAACCCGGGCGGCCAGCTCTGTGCTGACCACTCTCCGGTTGGCTCCCACACACAGTGATTCCCTCCAGACACTCTGTTGGAGGAGGCTCCTCGCATACCATGTTCCTCAGCTCCCCTGAGCCCTATCCTCCCCCTACGGGCTGGTCATGGAACCCCCAGCTGCTGGCCAGAGCTCAGGCAGCTGAGGTGGAGGCCTGGGCAGCACAAGTGGACCCGGACCCCCGGCTCCCCGCTGCTGGCGCCCTCAGCTACCCAGGGGACCCCAGCCCAGCCATGTCCATCTTGCACACACCCAGGACCAGATTATCCACGTGAAGGCGACGTCCATGTGAAGTGAGCAGCAAGTCAGACTCTCAGGCCACTGGAGGAGCCAGCAAGAGCATCAGGACAGGGATCTTGGTGCGGCGCCAACAACTCGTACCTAAGGGATCTGGCTTCTGCCCCATCTCGGCCTGGTCCAGGGTGTCTGCTCATTGTCTGGCTCACCCTGTCCCCCACTCTGCCCCACCTGCACCTGCCAGTGCCTCCCCCCACCTGCCAGGCCAAGAGGGTGCACAGCGGTGGCGGCGACTTTCCTGCTCCCTGTGGACTCACTCGTCCTGGCTCTGACGACAGGAGCACCCCGATCCCCTCGGCAGTCAGGGGGATGATATGGCTGAGGGGGGAACCAGGTCCTGTCCTCACAGGTGAAAACACTAAGGAAATCGCCTCTGACACACTCAGGGCATTGATTATCACCAGGATGTGCCACAGGACGACGCCAATTAAGACAGTGACCTGAAAAAGGGTGCTTGTCCCTCTGGAGTAAAGTCACTTGACAGATGGATCTTGGACAGTGTCCAACACACGGACACCAGCTCCAGAGCTCAAATAGCCCTGCCCTGAGGCCCTGCTCTGTCCATGATGCAGCAGCAGGACGGGGTGGAACATCCTGTGAGTGCTCAAAGGCGTCCCCATGAGCACCGACCATGGAGTGAGAGGCCAGGATGCCCTCTGTCATCGCCATGGGGACAACTTCAGGACTCACACTCGACATGGCATCTGGATCTTACCCCACAGACTGCAGGTATCTGCCCCCAGCTATTTGCAGGGGAGAATCCACTCACACTTGAATGTTTTTCAGATTCAAGCTTCATTTTAGACTTGAGAACGCGCTGTAGTCAAACTATTCATTTTGTAAATCATGACAACTAATGCTGACGGGGCCCAAGACGTCATGTTCCACAGCCCTGTCAGCCTGGGTGAGACTCGGTGAGAGAAAATATAGCCTCTTGTAATTTACGATGCTCAAACAATTGACTTTTAATACATTGAGCATAGGTTTTGAATTGTGGGAGATGTGACGATTTCTGCTGCACACCTACGATGTAGCATCAGCAACTCAGTGTGTTCTGGGCACTGAATAAAATCACAGCAATTAATAGAATTGGATGGTGAAGAAGACATTCCAGAGGGAATTAAAAATTATAATTATTGTTCAATTCAGAATGTTATTCCTTTTCTCCTAAACATGATGACAGATGAAACAGGTAGAAATTCAATGACTTGTTAGCAACATGTTGATGTCTTAATGGCTCTGGCACTATATAATTTTGGCGAAAACATCTGCCTATTTATAGACGCGAGCTTGGAATTTTTCCCCAACTCCACACTAGGGATTATCAGTGTAATTGGAAAATGAATCACAGTATTTAAACAGGGCCTGGAGGAGATATGTCAAGTTATTTATCGATTTAAAAGATGTATTTAAAGTCACTCAACAGATGTCAACATTTTTCACCACCACGTACCCAGATTAGATTTTCTTGTTTTTATTATTATTTTTTAATTATCCCCACCAATATGTTGTAATTATTTTATATTACTACACTCTCCTAATAATCCTGCCTCCGCAGGGCCTGTCCCTACATCAACCCCACAGAGGAAGGAGAGGATAAAATTGGGGAGGGGGAGGAGAGTGTGCAGGGCTGCCCCTTGTCCAGGCGTCCCCACTCATGCATGGGCCTGGAGTGAGGAACAAACTTGCACCCAGGGGACCTGGTCCCTGTGACCAGCAGGGACAGCCATATGCACAGACCATCTTGCTCAGCCCAAGAGCAGCCTCCTCCCAGCACAGATGTGTATGAGTCTGAGGGGGACAGAGGGGCCGGGGAGGGACCCGGGGCTGGATGAGCCCATCATGCAGGAGGGACATGTGGGTGTGACCCAGGAGGAGACTCTGTGGGAAACGTGGTCTCTGAGTCCTCAGATGTGGGGAGTCAGGTGCAGGGAGATGAGGAGATGAGGAGATGGACCAGGAGTCATCAGTGAGGCCACAGGGGCAGGAATCTGACAGAGGAGGCGTCAGGACACGCCGCATGGGGACGCTGAGCCCAGATCATTCAGTTCCAGGACAGTGTCGGGTCCTGGGGGCAAAAATTCAGTGACCTGCACACCCCATCTCCCTGCACAGCTGTCACTGTGGGGCCTCCCCAGACCAGGGCTGTGCTGGAGGAGCAGGAACAGGCTTTCTAGGGTTGGGAGGGGCTGGGCATGGTGATGTGTCCTCTGGGACTGTGCCCTGGACAACCTCTGGGAGGTGTGCTGGGCGGAGACTCTTGGGTCTGGCAGGAGGGGGAGCAGCGTCATGGGAATGACTGGGCAATGGTGATCTGTCAATTCAGTTCACTGAGAGACCTGATATTCAGGTTTTATCATGGTCATTTAAAATTTTCATTTCTTCACCAATTTATGGACACATGTTTGGACAATACATCAATAGTTCATTCACATGCAATAAAATATGAATTACTCAGAATGATAGAGCATAAATAGATTGCCTGATTGTATATGTTGATAACACATTTTATGTTCAATATTGGAAGATAGACAATGTTTTCTTCCTCTTTATTTTTTTATACAGATCATGGCTCAAGGGGGGATGAATCTCATGGCTGTGACAGAATTCATCCTACTGGGGTTCCCCACCCAGGGGACCATGGGCTTCTTGCACCCGTTGCTCTTCTCCCTGGTCTACCTGTGTGCCCTTCTGGGGAACGGGCTCATCATCCTCATCACCACCCTGGACAAGCACCTCCACACTCCCATGTACTTCTTCCTGAGGAGTCTGTCCTTCACGGACCTCTGCCTCATCACAACCACGGTCCCCAAGTCCATTGCCAACTCTCTGATGCACAGCAGCTCCATCTCGTTCCCGGGCTGTGTCATGCAGGTCTTTGTGCTGGTTATTTCAGCAGCTGCAGAACTGACTCTGCTCACAGTGATGAGCTTTGACCGCTATGCTGCCATCTGTCATCCCCTGCACTATGAGGTCATCATGAGCAGTGACAGGTGTATGCAACTGACAGCTGTGTCCTGGCTGGGTGGGAGTGCCATCTCTTTGATAAACACAGCTGGAACCTTCTCCTTGTCCTACTGTGGGTCCAACATTGTCCACCAGTTCTTCTGTGATGTCCCCCAGTTATTGGCCATGTCCTGCTCAGGAAATCTAATGATCAAACTTGTCCCCATTCTCATCAGTGTGGTCTGGAGTATCTGCTGTTTCATTTTCATCATTTCCTATGTCCACATCTTCTCTGCTGTCAGGAAGATCCCATCCACAGAAGGTAAGGCCAAAGTCTACTCCACCTGCCTTCCCCACCTGCTGGTTGTGGTGCTGTTTCTCTCCACTGGATGCTTTGATTATCTGAAGCCAACCTCAGAGACTCCGTCCATGTCTGACCTGGTCATTTCTATGTTCTACACGATGGTGCCCCCCCACCTTTAATCCCATCATATATAGTCTGAGGAACCAAGCCATGAAGTTGGCGGTGGGGAGACTGGTGAAGGGTCAGTACACCAGCATGTGAGGCATCATTGTTTTCCTAAACACCATCTACATTTATGGACCCATCAGTTATTTAGATTTTCCCTCTATTACCAATCACCATTTTAAAGTAAAATAAGACTTCATTACAGATTTCCTTTGTAAATTTTAACATTGTTCTAGTCTTCAAATCTCCATTTCCTAAAGTAAGGCAGCCATTTTCAAAACACCCTTCATGTGACATACATGATATGAATTCTATTCTTTAAATATTACGGCTGATATATGATAGCATGTTCTAGTACTCACACATCACCAACATTTTCATGAAATCCAGCAGTGGTAAGGGGTCTGTCCTCGGGAGCACAAGGTCACGGGACCCCAGTCTTGGCGCTCAGTTCTGACAGCCTGTGTGTGTCTCCCCTGAGGACCACCCCTGTGGAGGGAGGGGAGACAGTTGCATGGGCCCCACCACTCCCCATTCCTGATGGGCAACTTCCTCTGAGAGACATTCATGTTTATGCTGAAAGGTCAAGTAGAAATTACACTTGACATGAATCTCCCGGAGACGGACATTTCCTAACAAATCTGAATCTATGATTGAATCTGTACTTGTTCATTTATACGGCGTTTTGATCTGATTACAGCACCTTGAGAGTGTGGATTTTTAATGTGAATTATTTTTGAAGAACTGTTTCATCTATTAAGCTTTATAATTTTAAGACACTTGTTGCTGTTGTGTTTATTTTTAGGGGTTCCGATTTTAGGGGTTCACAAGGTTGTGTGTTGATGTCCTGTAGAAGGTCTTCTTCTCCACTTTCTGGTATGTCTGGGATTATGTCACTTTCTACATCATGTAACGTAATGCACGGCAATATCTGCAAATTTTTATTCTCTGGCAGCTTCTGTGCTGCAAGCGCTGGGACCTCAATGCTGCTCACCCACCCTGAGAACATGAGCTGGGGTAGGCTCTGCCCTCATGCATCCTCTCTGCAGCAGGACAGGTGTCTCCAAACATGCCTGATGGATCATAATAGAGTCACTGCAGACAATATTTCTCTTATGAAATGTATGTTTTTTAACATTCTTTAAAAAGCATGTTAACCGTCAGACCGTGTCCATTGATTTTCAGAATACAATCTGTGTGGGGAAGTCTCCCAAGTAACACATCTTTCCATGAAAGACCCTGATGGCAGGTGTCTCCCCCCTGGGCCTCTATCACTCTCGGGCCACAGCCTTTACACACTTTCTGTCTTGGCTTTGAGTGAAGCCTCTAGACTCTGTTGAGAAGAGGATTTGACCTCCCGAGTGGGGTGACATGGGGTCATGTTAATAATTGCCATTTGTCACTTCTTTGCTGTCTTGTTTGGGGTTCCAATTCTGCCCCTCTTTGTGTGTGATGACCCCTCACACTCCTGGGGAACACCCACGTGAACACCCTCCTGCTTCCACAAGTCCAATTACAGGGAACACCAAGGGTAATAAACAAGTGTCCCCCACCCCCCGGACACTAGAGCGCTCCTGGGCCTCAGAAACCTCTGTGGGGAGAAGCCACGTGCACCCCACAATCCTGACAAGGGCGAGTGTCTATCCACACACATGCATCCCCACCACAACAGGGTGCAGCACCCCAGTCCAGACATGGGCCAAGGCATAGGCAGATAGTCTCTAAGGAGGATGCGCTGGTGCCTGCAGAGTCACGAGCAGGGTGGATTTAGGCTCCAGACCCTGCTCTGAGCTTCGCTGGCATGTTCTGAACCCCTCATGGCTGTGTTTGTTCACGTCCCGGTATGGGCTCATCCTGCGGGGCCAGCGGGGTCCAGGGCGTGATTATGTCATTATTCAGCGTTTACGTCTAATAAGCTGGGCTGACTCTGTCCGGCTGCTTCCTGGGATTTCTGAGAGCTGCCAATGACAACACTTCAGCCCCTCACACTCAGCCCACACTTTCCACCATGTCCCCTTCCCTCAGCGTGTGCTGGACACTGGGGTCCACACGGTGGACAGACTCGAGTCTGTGTCCGGAGAGATTAAATGTGGGGAATGTGCTCCTGGGCTGAGAAGCTTTTCTCAGCTGGGGTGAGCAGGAAGGACTAACCATTCTCTTCATGGGCTGAGGAGTTTCAACCAGAAGAGTTTAAGTGAGGACACAGGATCCCACAACCTTCGCAGGTAGCACACCAGACCCTCCAGCCCACACGACCTTCTCCCTGAGACCTAAAGGACACCCCGCCCAGCGCTGACCCCCCATGATCCTACCACACAGGCCGAGCAGGATGAAATGGGTGTCATCTCCCAGGTGGTCTCGGGGTCCAGAGCATCGGGGGTCACAGGGCCCAGAGGCCGGATCCCCCTGCATGTGTCCACAGCAGGCCGAATGGGGGACATGAGGGAGCACTGGAGGCGAACGGAGCTGCAGCATCTTTCCCCCTAAATGGCACCTGCGGGGATCCCTGGAGTTGGGAGAATCACCAGACGCCCTCCTCTCGGTGGCAACAGCCCATCCCTGCTGGGCAGAGCATGTCCCTCACCCCGGCCTCAGCCAGCCCCTGGCTCTAAGCTGACGCCACCGAACCCCAGCCAACGCTGTCCTTGGGGCTGAGTCCACCTCGCAGAACCCTTTGGGCACAAATATCCACATTTAACCAAAGGTGAACACGCATTGGGGAGGCCTTGGGACTTGTCCTGTGTGTCCTCCCGTCCCCGTGGGCTTAGCAGGGACCGCACATGAAGGGGTCACTCCTGTCAGGGGAGGAAACTTCGTGTCCCTCCTGTGCTGGCCCGCCAGGCTTCACGGTCCCCACGTCTACCCCAGGGCGGCCAGCTCCGTGCTAACCACCGTCCAGCTGTCCCTGACGCCAGAGAGGGACCTCCCACAGGCCGCTCGTCGGAGGAGGCTCCTCGCATACCGCGTTCCTCCCTGTCAGCCCCTCCGCATGGCTGCCCACGGATCCCCCAGCTGCTGGCCCAGGCTCGGGCAGCCTAGGGGACACCTGGGCGGCGCATGTGGACCCGGATCCCAGCTCCCCGCCACCCGCACATTCTGCCCCCCAGGGGACTCCAGCCCAACTGTGTCCACCCCACTCACACCTGGGCCTGGACTGTCCATGTGGAGGCAATGTCCACGCAGAGTCAGCAGCAAGTCAGACTCTCAGGCCACTAGAGGGGCCGGCTGGAGCGCCAGGACAGGGAGAGTTGCTGCCGTGCCAACAACTCGTGCTTTGGGGGATCCGGATTCTGCCCCACCCTGGCCTGGCCTGGGGTGTCTGCCCATTGTCCTGCTCGCCCTGTCCCCCATCCTGCCCCTCCCACCCCCGCCAGTGCCTCACACTCCCTGCCTAGCAGGTCCAAGAGGGGCCCCTGGGTGGTGATCACTTTCCTGCTGCTCCCTGTGAACAGGCTCGTCCTGGCCCTGACCACAGGGCCACTCCGGTCCCTGCGGGATCAGGGGGTGATGGGGCCAGGAGGACAGGATGAATTACATTCCTTCCCACAGAGGAAACCACCAGCAAAAGCACCACTAACACACTCACTGGATGTGCCACAGGATGACACTAATTAAGACAGTGAACAAAAAAAAAAGTGCTGGTCCCTGAGGGCTGGAATCTGGACAGTGTCCAAAACGCGGACACCAGCTCCAGAGCTCAAATAGCCCAGCCTTGAGGCCCTGCTCTGTCCATGAGGCGGCAGCAGGATGGGGTGGAACATCCTGTGAGTGCTCAGAGGCATCCCCACGAGCCAGGACCATGGAATGAGAGGCCGGGACGCCCTCTGTCCTGCCATGGGAACAACCTCAGGAGAGAGACTCAACATGGCAGCGGGAACTTCCCCCCTAAACTGCAGGTATCTGCCCCCAGCCGTTTGCAGGGGAGAATCCACTCACACTTGAAATATTTTAGATGCGAAGCATCATTTTAGACTTGAGAAAGCCCAGCAGTTAAACTATTCATTTTGTAAATCATGACAACTAATGCTGAGGGTGCCCAAGTCGCTCATATCCCACTGCCGTGTCAGCCTGGGGTGAGACTCAGTGAGAGAAAACACATTCTCTTGTAATTTAAGATGTTCAAAGATATTGACTTTTAATACATTGATCATAGGTTTTGATTTATGGGAAATGTGATGATTATTACTTCATACCTGGGATTTTAGCATCAGCACACTCAGTGTGTTTTGGGTACTGAATAAAATCACAACAATTAATGAGATTAGATTGAAATGAAGGAATTCCAGAAGAAATTAAAAAAAAAAACTAGTTGTTAAATTCACAACATTATGCCTTTTTGCCCCTAACATTATGAAAAAAATGAGTCAAGTTGAAAATCAATAATTTTTGCAGCAACATGTTGACGGCTTCATGACTCTGACACGAACATGAAGCTGGCAGGGATGTGTGACTATTTTTGCACATGATCTTGGGATTATTCCCCAACTTCGTCACTCAGGGATTGTGAGCAATTTTGTGAAACAAAGTCACAGTATTTAAACAGGGCCTGGAGGAGATATATGTCAAGTTATTTTATACATTTTAAAAGGTATTTAAAGTCACACAACAGATGTCAACATTATTAATAACCAGATGCAACATTTTTTTTACATCCACGAATACTTATATATTTTCTTGTTTTTATTAAATTTCTGGAATTATTCCCACCAGTGTGTTGCAATTATTTTATATTACTATATTCTTGTAAAAATCCTGCCCACCGCAGTGCCTGCCCCTACGCCACCTCACAGAGCGGGGAGACGATGAGATTGGGGAGGGGGAGGAGAGTGGGCAGGGCTGCCCCATGTCCAGACGACCCCACTCACACTGAGGTGAGGAAAAAAGTTGCACACGGAGGACCCAAGCCCCTGGGACCGGCACGGACAGCCCACGCACAGAAAATCTGGCTCAGCCCTGGAGTCGCCCCCTCCCTGCACAGATGTGCATGAGTCTGAGGGGCACAGAGGGGCCAGGGAGGGACCCGGGGGTGGACGAACACATCCTGCAGAAGGGACGAGTGGGTGTGATCCAGGAGGAGATTCTGTGGGAAATGTGGTCTCTTGGTCCTCAGATGTGGGGAGTCAGGTGCAGGGAGATGAGGAGATGGACCAGGAGTCAGCAGTGAGGCCACAGGGGCAGAAATCTGACAGAGGATGCATCAGGACATGCCACACGGGGACACTGAGCCCAGATCATTCAGTTCCAGGAGAGCATTGGGTCCTGGGGAGCAGGAAAACAGAGACCCGCACACCCCATCTCCCTGCACACCTGTCACTGTGGGGCATCCCCAGACCAGAGCTGTGCTGGAGGAGCAGGGACAGGCTCTCCAGGGTGGGTAGGGGCTGGGCATGGTCACGAGTCCTCTGGGAATGTGCCCTGGACAACCTCTGGGAGGTGTGCTGGGCTCCGATGCTGGGGCCTGGGCAGGAGGTGGGAGCAGTGGGTCGAGGGAATGTTGTAGGACAGCTTTGTCTATGGACTTTTTTGACAAGTATGAGATTCTAATTTCTTCAAGTTTTGTAGGGGACAGTTGAAATTTTCAGTTTTCTCCAATTATCAGGACTTATGTGGAGAATGTAATATTGACATTTTCACATGAGCTGGTAACAAATGGGTTGAATGAAACAGCATACATAGATGATATTAGTGTCCATAGAACTGGAAGGAATAATTATGCTGAAAATAAACTGAGTTATTACTTTGTATTGATAACCCATAATATTTCGATATTGGAAAAATTAAGATTTTGTTTCTCTTTCCTCTTCTATACAGATGATGTCTCCAATGGTGACCAATCTCACCACCGTGACAGAATTTGTGCTCCTGGGGTTCCCTACCCAGGGGACCATGGGCTTCTTGCACCCGCTGCTCTTCTCCCTGGTCTACCTGTGTGCCCTGCTTGGGAATGGGCTCATCGTCCTCATCACCACCCTGGACCGGCACCTCCACACCCCCATGTACTTCTTCCTGAGGAGTCTGTCCTTCTTGGATCTCTGCCTCATCACAACCACAGTCCCCAAGTCCATTGCCAACTCTCTGAGGCGCAGCAGCTCCATCTCCTTCCCAGGCTGTGTCGTCCAGGTCTTTGTGCTGATTCTCTCAGCAGGTGGAGAGATGACCCTCCTCACTGTGATGAGCCTTGACCGCTATGCTGCCATCTGCCACCCCCTGCACTATGACGTCATCATGAGCAGGGACAGGTGTGAGCAGCTGACAGCTGTGTCCTGGCTGGGTGGGGGTCTCTATGCTGTGATGAACACAGCTGGAACCTTCTCTTTGTCATACTGTGGGTCCAACGTGGTCCACCAGTTCTTCTGTGACGCCCCTCAGTTACTGGCTATTTCCTGCTCAGAAAATGTAATGAACAAACTTGTCCCCATTCTCATTAGTGCGGTGTTGACTCTCTGCTCTTTTATTTTCATCATCATTTCCTACGTCCACATCTTCTCTGCTGTCAGGAAGATCCCATCCACAGAAGGTAAGGCCAAAGTCTACTCCACCTGCCTTCCCCACCTGCTGGTTGTGGTGCTGTTTGTCTCCACTGGGCTCTTTGATTATCTGAAGCCGACCTCAGGTACTCCATCCATGTCTGACCTGGTCATTTCTATGTTCTACACGGTGATGCCCCCCACCTTTAATCCCATCATATACAGTCTAAGGAATCAAGCCTTGAAGTCGGCTGTGTGGAGACTGATGAAGGGGAGACTCACCAAAATGTAATAGAGAAGATGACTTCATGACTCCATTATGAGTCACATATTTTAAATTATTGAATTATACTCCTCTTCATATTTTTTCTAATTACATATAATTCTATTGTATAATTTAAAAATATATGCTCATTTTTAAATTATGTTTACAATGACTTCATATAGTCTGCTGCTTATATACTCTGTTGTCACTGATTGTTCCTCTTTTTTACACTTAGGTACTTTTTTTATTCTCTGTACAATGGAGGTCACGAACTCCAAACACTTTCTGCTGGCCTCCATTTTTGTGTTCCTGGCCAAGAGAGGTGATGATTGGGTTTCATGTCAGTGGTCAGCAGAAGTTCTCTCAGTGGGGCAGCCTCTCCAGTCTCTAAGGTGTCTTTCCCTTCATGGTCACTGATATCTTGGTCACGGGTGGGATCAGGGGCCACGGGCAGGACAGAGATCCCTTTACTTAGTGAATAAGGCCTTCACAGCATAAATAAGGCCTGAGGATCTGAAGTTATAATCTAAGTAGTCAAGACCTTTGTCGATAAGGATACTGCATGACATGGTAGAGACCCAACTGGAAGCTCTGGTGTGGGCACCACCCTCATTTGCCATAATCACACTCACCCATGGTGGACACCAGAGATAAGAAAGCTAAGTTCATGTGCAGTATAATTACAAAAATTTTTCAAAAATGCACTGGAAAGGAATTTTTGAGATACAATAAGAGAACTTAACAAGTTATAATGGTCAAAATAAAATGATAGGTAGTAGCCTGCCTCATATCTAATATTTCCAGAAATGTGTTAGGAATGCCATCCATGACCTCACACCACTCTTTACAGGAGTGTTATCCCCATTTATTTCATCCCCTAGAGTGGGCGGGAATGGCAGGACAATGCCCTAGCCGGCAGGTCATCAAAAGGAATCGTACCTAGAATGTCTGCATTTTTTATGAACACGTTGAAATGAAAAAAAAAAAAAAAAACTCATCAGCTTTACGTGCAATGAAATGATACTATCATTTAGTACACTTGTAAAGACTTGTAAGTAATGGAAGGAGATTTCAATTTGGGAAGTGAAATGGCCCCATTATTGTCACTTGCTGTCTGGCCTCAGCTCCTCTCTGCTGACTGCACCCACCTTTGTTTCCCGTCTGTGACGGCCAATATTTGAAAATTTCATACTAAAATATTTCATGATAAAAATGTGGTTCCAACTGGATATCAGATATTTAAGTTGTTATCAAACAGTTCACCTTGCGAGGAGGCTATTCAGGCTGTCCATGCTCAGGTGAGATCCATGTGGCACAAAGTAAATATGGAGGCTGCCAGGAAATGTTAGAAAATGGCAACATCTGGATATTTGAAATCTGGGATTGTTATAGGGCAGCCCCGATATTGAACGGGTTACCTGGCTGTGGGTCCCCACCCTCACGCTTAAAAGGGACTTATCAATACTCCACTACAGGCATACACAAAAGGTTAATAAAAGGTTTATTTACAAGGGAAAAGGAAATAAGGAAAATGTACAACTTAGGGAGAAGATTGGGAAATAAAGTCTTTAATGTGTCCTACCCGATCTGCCGACCTGGAAACCCAAAGGCAATCTCAGAGCTGGCTGGATGCTGCGAGCTGGCGGAGAGCCAAAATGGGGGACCCCTCCAAGCCCACATGTTTGACTTTATACCAACCTGGCTTCTTAACCCCACCCTCATGTCCCATCCACCTTCCCTTTGGTGGTGATGGGATTTGGAGTTCCCAGTGTCTTTGGCTTTTGCCTGGGGTGGGGGCCGAGTCCACAAAGCCTGTATAGAATTAGCTTTAGGACATCCTTTTCCCCCTAACAGGATGACAACTTGATACTGTCCTGTTAAGTGATTGGTATTTTTAGTTTTTCTGCCGATAAATTAATTGCTTAATATCAATTCATGATACTGTTATAGTTCACTGGTGGGATATAATGAGAATTTAATATATGTATTAAGAACCTGAATAATACCATCATACATATTTATGAGGCTATTTTTTGCCAACTTTGTATAATATTATTAAAATATTTAAGTAATAAACATTTAATGTCTCAAGGTTGTATGAATTTTAAAATGTAAGCACAATGAAAATTGTTGTGGACACCAAGGAAATATAAACTGTGAACTCTAAAGACTCCACTGAAAAAACAAATTAAATTAAATAAGCCACTTCAGTATACTTCAAAAGTACAAAATCAACACATGAACATCAATTGCCTTCTTATATGCAAAATAGGAATCTGAAGAGAAGAATTTGAGAAGGAAATCTTACATATAATCACAAAATTACCTAGCAGTAACCCTAAAACAGGAAGTGAAGATACACAGAAAATTGTAAGACATCCTTAAAATAAATAGGAAACAGAGGGTGGATCAACATGGCGGCGAGGAAACGAGAGTGTAAGGTCTCCCATTAAAAAAAGTTAATAAGGAGGAAAAGCGGCAGGTCCCACTGAGAACTGGGACACGGAAGATAAACAGATGACTCCAGCAAAATACCTGAAGAATAAAGTTGCCATAAAAGAGGACTAGAAGGGAGGAAAGCTCAGAACCCAGCCATCCTCCCCGCTCCACAAAGTTGGCACTCTCTGACCAACAGAAAGGAGGAAAGAAAAAAAAAAAAAAACCTAAAACAACCAACACGAACAAACTACACATCAAGCAGGACTGTGAGTGGAAAGGATTAGCAGAGGAGGTGAGCAAACGGCTCCAGGCACCACTGGAGAAAAACAAAGACTCCCAGAGACCTACACATAGCCACAGGCCAGCCGGTAAGCTTGTGCGGAAAAGCAGCGCACTTGAAAAGCAAACGTGGATCGCGGTGGCCCAGGCCCTCATGTCTGCAACCTAGGCTTGCGGGGAGACACGCAGGGGCCCTCACTGAGGTGAATGTCCCTCAATGAGTAATCAGAAACCAGGCACCTGGACACGGGAGCGGGGTGCAAAAGACGCCATTTCTGCGGACACTGAACTGGGCTACAGCCCACGTCCTGGATCTTAAGGCTTTGGAACTGAGACCAGGGGCATGAAATTCAGGGCGTGAGTTCCCCACGACAGTGGGGCACAAGGCAGACACAGCACCCCAAAGCCGTTGAGGTTTTCCCCACCATTCCCACTCTGTTCCTCAGCCCACGGAGTGAAAAAAAGAGCTCCCCAAGGACACTAGGAGAGATCTCTGGCACCAGCTAGCAACCAGAAAAAAAAATCACCAACACCCCATAGAACAGGGACCTTTCTTCAGTAAAGACTGCTTGAAATCAGCATAAGGCTCCCAGAGGAGCCAGTGCTGAGCTGGGAAGTTAGCCCATGCCAGGCCCCTTCTGATCAGCAGTTTGAGCCCAGAGGGGGAGCAGGCACCCATGGCCAGGGCAGACCATGCACTCAGAAGAGTGTGCCTGAGACCGGACACACAGGGAGTGCGTTCCACATCGCCATATTAGAACAGGGACATTTCTTCAGTAAATACTGCCTGATACCAGTGGAAGGCTCCCTGAGGAGCCAGATGTGAACTGGGAAGTTCGCCAACACCAGGCCCCTTCTGGCCTGCAGTCCAAGCCCAGAGGGGGAGTGGGAACCCACCGCCGGGGCAGACCAGGCACGCAGGGGTGTGAGCCTTTGCATCGGCATTTTAGAACAGGGACCTTTCTTCAGTAAAGACTGCTTGAAACCGACATATGGCTCCCAGAGGAGCCAGAGGGGAGTGGAGAAGTTCACCCAAGATGCCGGCCAGTCCCAGCAACACAGTGCCCCAGTGCATACAGCAAATTAGAAAACAGACAGTAGGGAGTAGAAGAACCACATTCAACCTAGCAACTCCTCAGGAAAAAAGCATACCACAAAAAGAAAACCAACCCCCAGAAGAAACAACAGTAACTTGGAAGAACTTCTGAGTCTTCCAGAAATAGAATTTAAAATTGCCATGATTAAAAACATGACAGAATTCATAAAGGAAAACAATGATAAGGGAAAAATAATCAATGATCAGAAGAATGAAATTGACTCCCTAAAGAGGGAAGTAAAAGAAACGCAGGATATCACAGAATTAATGGAGGCACTAAAGAACTCTTGGAAAAGCAATGAAAGCAGAATAGATGAAATGGAAGAACGAATAAGTACTCTTGAAGACACAGAAATAAAAAGAACCAAAACAGAAAAGGAAAGAGAAGTACGAAGGAAAAAGACCAAAGAAAGACTTCGGGAACTATCTGACTCCATGAGGAAAGGAAATATAAGAGTTATAGGAATACCAGAAGGAGAGGAGAGAGATGTAGGAACAGAAAAAATATTCAAGGAGATAATTGAAGAGAACTTCCCAAACGTGAAGAAGGAGCTGAAAATTGATATACAAGAAGCAAGAAGAAAACCAAACTTCCACGCCAAAAGGAAAAATACAGCAAGACACATAAAAGTAAAGCTCCTAAGCTCCAGAACAAGGAAAAAATAATGAAGCTGACAAGAGGGAAGAAACAGATAACATTCAAAGTGAAACCAATCAGGCTGACATCAGACTTCTCCGAAGAAACACTACAGGCAAGGAGAGAGTGGAGGGACATAGTCAACAGACTCCAAAATAACAGATGCCAACCAAGAAAACTCTATACCACAAAGCTCTCCTTCCTCTATGAAGAAAGAATAAGGACCTTCCCAGACAAACAGAAACTCTGGAATTTCATTACGACTAAACCCCCACTCCAAAAAATACTACAAGGAATCCTAAAGCCAGAAACTGAGGGACGAATAACAATGAAA